TGTGTGTGTGTGTGTGTGTATATATATATATATATATATATATATATACATAATTTTTTAACTGAATAAATGCATTTTGAAAACAGATCAATAATTTAAATAAAATAAAACCAATTCAATAATTACAATAAAAAAAGAAACACACTGAATTTTGAAGTAGAACGACGGAAATTGTATTTTCTTGTAAAACATACACCAGTAATCTTTGATTTATTTACACTTTACTACATGAATTTGGTGAGAAATGAGTATCTTGTGACCTGAATGTGTCTGTAATCCCTGATTATTGAGCTTAAAGACACGAGGAAACCAGAAATACACAACAGTGGGAGAGAAAGGGAAAAGAGCTCATTTGTGTAATAATGAGAGCTTATAAGCGTCAGTTACCTGGATGTGTCCCTGCGTGTGTCTGCGTGTGGCTGCGTTCACGTCCCACTGGCTGTAGGATTTGGTCGGGCTGCTGGGGCTCGGGTCCTGGTTCTGGTATGGGTTCTGGGGAAGGTTGCTGGAGCTTTGGCTGCGGGCGATCGGGACGCCGGGAACCGAGAGGTGACCCGAGGGCGAGGCGGAGGAACCGGAGAGGGGTAACGTCGGGAAACGTCCTCGCGCTGAGACTCTGTGTTTGTCCATCAAGGCACTGCTGCAGCTGAGATTCTCCATGGAACGACAGAACTGCTTATCAGGCACTGAGAGGAACCACAGACAAAACAGGCGAAAGAGACCTTAAAGAGACAGGTCATCCAGAAAATGAAACGGAAAAACTTCAGGAGATCTCTACCTTTTATTATAAAACGGATAGTTCCGGTGCTTGATTCTGATTGGCTGAGCCGTGTTCGAAGCTGTTGTAAATTACTCTACAAAGTAACATACACCTTTGTTTACGTTTGTGTGTTGCTCGGCAACCACTTTGTTGCAACCACAACTGTTTCTGAGGAGCTACATTGTTTGGTGGAAGAACACTGTTTTTATTAATATCATTACACTTTATTTGCTCTGTTTTATTTTGTGAAACCTTGCTACGTATATGGAATAACCGTTTTATAAAAGCAATAAGCCCCGTGAAGCCGTGGTTTACAGTGAATTTATAACAGCTTCGCGTCGTACCTAACAACGCCCCTTAGCTGTTATAAATTCACTATAAACCACGGCTTCTTGGGGATTATTGCTTTATTATGCCATCTTCCCTTATGTGCTCAAAATGTATGTTCTTTTGTACTTTCAGATGCATTTTTTGGAGAAAGTTTTAACTTATTCACAGAAATGAAGCAAACTTACCAACTAATACTGTTCTTGTTACTGAAGTTTAACGCTATTATTTCTGTAGCACATTAAAATAATTGCAATATTTATGACATTGCTTAAGGAAAAAATTGTGTTTATATTTCTACAATTACATTTATACATTTAAATATATTTTATATTTATTTATATTCTATAAAATATTTATATAGTAAATATTTGCACACTGATATTTAATTTTAAATCATTAAATATATTTATATGTAATATATTTAAATATACTTATTTACATTTTATATTTATAATATAATATTAAATATTATATATTTTTTTTAAGTAAAAATTTTATTTTATTTTTTTTACTTTTTAAGGTCATAATTTTAACTTTATATTGGCAGCAAAATAATTAATAAATTGCAGAGTCCTAGTCAAATGATCTAACTTTATGGTGCTGATTGATGACAGAATTTATCAATTTTGTGTATACATGTAATATTTATGTTCTCGAAGCATGAATATATAGATAACTACCATTTAAAGATTTGAGGTCAGTAAGACTGATATGATTTTTTTTTTAAAGAAATTAATGCTTTTATTCATCAAGGATGCATTAAATTGATCAAAAGTGACAGTAAAGACATCTATAATGTTACAAAAGATTACAATTTCAACTAAATGCTGTTCTTTTGAACTTTCTATTCATCTGCGAATCCTGAAAAATAAAATTGATCAGTTTCCACAAAAATATTAATGTTTCCAACATTGATAATAATCAAAAAATGCAGCAAATCAGCATATTATACTGATTTCTGAAGATCATGTGACACTGAAGACTGGAGTAATGATGCTGAAAATACAGAAATAAATTACACTTATACAGATATTCACAGCTTTTACAGTTTTTACTGTATTTCTGATCAAATAAATGCATCCTCAGTGATATAGTATACCGACCCCAAACTTGAATGGTAGTGAATTTCTAAAAGAAACTACAGTAGATCTACCTGAGCCGTGCGTTTGCATGCAGTGTGTGAGGGAACCTCGTGGAATCATCTTGAAGCTCTCTGATGCTGATTGGCTGATAGGCAGCTCAATGACGTACGTTGCCGGCACATAAATGGGTTTGGCCTTCGCGCCGACCCCGATCCTCCGCGCCTGCCACCAGTCAGCATTGGTCTTCTTCAGCAGCAGAAAGCGCTCGCCCTCGTGTATGGAGACCAGACGGCCGTCGACGGCGCGGTACGAGTAATCATACTGAGCCTCCAGAACCACAGTACTGCTCAGCCTGGACCTCGACCCGCCTTTAAACGCACCCGGGCCGCTCGCTGACGAGATGACGGTTCCACGGCGCCAGCTTCCCGACAGCATGGTTCCTCTCAGAGACACACGGAGGGGGAAAGCTGGACACAGACACCACTGGAGCGAGACGAGAGGACGAATGCACAGAGCGACAACACAAGTGCCATGATCTGAAACAGAAAGGCTTGTTACACAGAAATGTAGCATTGCATCACTGCTCTGCAGTGAATGGGTGCCGTCAGAATGAGAGTCCAAACAGCTGATAACTACTCACATTTTAAGTTTTCACAATAGTCGATTCCAAGAATGCATTTTGAAAATATGATTTAAATGAAATCAAACAGATGCAAATAATTAATAATAAACTATTCCATGATTTTTTGAGTGCATAAATCTGAGCCGCTTCATTGATGTATGACTGAAAAATATCAATTACATTAACTTTATCAGTTAGTTTTTATTTTGTTGTTTAAACTGTTAAATCAAAATGCATGGAAATTTTACATGCAATTCAAATGCATAAATCTTATGCATAAAATGTATACCCTTTCTGAGTGAAGTAAGACATGCTGGTCACATCGTGGTCCAGAAACAGCCTTCCTAACTAACCTAACTAACCTAAACCTGAAGCGATGGAAGGTTTCGATGGGAATGTTGTAAACCGCGCTGTGCAAACATGCAGACTTACAGGATGCCCAAAAGAGAAACTAATCCAGAACATGTTTGTTAAAGTGAATCCGAGCCAACGAGAGGCATATGTGTGTGATTCTGTGTGTGTGTGAGAGAGAGAGAGTGTGTGTGTGTGTGTGTGTGTGTGTGAGTGGTTGCTGGGTTTACTGATAATCCTCACTGTAAAGCAGGATGCTAAATTACCCTTAATGTAACATGGGCTCCAAACGTCTGAGACCACTAGTGAAAATGCTTTTATGCATTTCTTGTTAATTGTTTTCATTACAATATGCAATACAGTATATATATACAGTATATATATATATATATATACACACACACACACACACACACACACACAATAAAAACCAATAAACACTCGGTTTATTTCCAGTTGTAAATGTGGTTTTGAATCTCAGATTTTCAGCGCATGCTCAGACACTCCGTGTGTGTGTTTCTGCACTGATTCTATCACACGAGCACTCGGACGTCTCTTATAATGTCAGAGTAATACAGTTATGTGCGATATCAAGAGCAAACGTTACTGTCTCTGCGAGAAATAAGGAGATGAAACACTACGTGCAGAAAACAGGAAACCACATGCGCTTCACCAGCACCAGAGTCCAACAGACTCACAGCAGCGAGAACTAAACCAGAAAACACTCAGAGACCGCTTTCCTTCATCATTGACTCAACAGATGGATGCCAGCATGACTCACTGTTAGCACATATGCTGAAGAACACACACACACACACACACACACACACATAAACGTCAGGCCTTCACAGACGCTTCATAGTGTCACACTATAGGATTGTGCACACACACAGACACACACACACAGACAATAACAGACACACAAACACACACACACTCACACACACACACTCACAAAAACAGACACAATCTCACACACACACACACACACAGACAAAAACACACACACTCACAGACACACACACGTTTGTTTTTGTGAATTGTGGGGACATTCCATAGGCGTAATAGTTTTTATACTGTACAAACTGTATATTCTATTGCCCTACACCAACCCTACACCAACCAATACCCCTTACAGGAAACTTTCTGCATTTTTAGATTTTCAAAAAACTTTATTCTG